CCAGTTTACTCTAACGGGCTTTTCGTTTATAATAGCCTTCCCAACTTCCCCCCTTCCCCCTATAAAAGAGCACCCCTCCTCTTGTTCTGCAGACTTGCCTATGGTTTTGCCACAAACTGCTTGTCCCAAACTGCAATTCCCTGCTATTCCCACATAAACCCATTTGCGCTGATAAAACAACTGGCAGCTTATTTTTAAAGTTAACCTGTGCAAACAGATTAATTAAGGAACTAAAAAAAAAATTGGTTCTGCCGTGGCATCCGTAAAATTTCTGACCAAATTATCTCCCAGAGTACTACTCATACATCTTACCAAATCAGCATGCCCCTAAGAAGTCCTCTTAGGTCCACAATGCCCTTTATGGCATTTTAAATGGATTTTATAGACTCACCCCCTGCCTTGAGCTATTCTCCCTATTTGGCTATTATCTGCCTATTTAGTGAAGGGTCTGAATGCTACCTGACTGTGTAGACTGTGTGCTACACTGATGTGCTCATGCCACAACAGTGGTAAAGAAATTAGTAACTGAGATTATTCCTCATTTGACATTCCTTTATGGACTGAGTTAGATGAAGGAACTCATTTTACAGCAGAGATAAACCGCCTGCTTGCAAAAACTCTGGGACACTCATTAAAATTTCACATCCCCTATTAACCTCAATCATCAGAGCAAATGGAACATAAAAATCTAGATCTAAAAAGAACCTTAGAAAAGATGTGTCAAGAAACTGACTTCAATGGCCAGAAGAACCAAACTTGGTCTTTATTAAAATCCAGAATACTCCATATAGGAGACATGGATTGATCTCTTTTAAAACAGTGTTTGGTCGGGGCGCCTGAGTGGCTCAGTTGGTTAAGCTTCGGACTCCTGATCTTGGCTCAGGTCATGATCTCAGGGTTCATGAGATGGAGCCCTGCATAGGGCTCTGCACTGCCAGTGCAGAGCCTGCGTGGAATTCTCTCTCTCTCCCTCTCTCTCTTCCCCTCCCCTGCTCACATACTCTGTCTCTCTCAAAATAAAACATTAAAAAAAAAAAAAAAAGCCCAAACTGGTCTTTGTTCCTGCTAATGTAAACATTTGATGGACTGAGCAAGGGAGACAGGTAAATAATAAGGTGTGATATCCATGATCAGAAGAAAGTTACTCTGCCTTTTTCCCTGGTGAGTTACGTGGGCCGCAGAAAATCTCTACAGAAGCTCAAAGACTATCCCTTGTCAGGGTGAAAACAATAGCTGAAGATTTTTCCTGTTACATTGAAAACAGACCTGCCACTGGACTTCTCCTGGATGACATACCAAGCTAGTATTACAACCAAACTCTGTGTTTGATGCTGAAAATGGCATTTTCTTTTTCTTTTTCTTTTTTTTTTTTTTGGAAAATGGCATTTTTAAACTTGGCAAGGAGATTAAAAATAACTCTAGCATAAAAGTTTGCCAAATCACCAAACAGGTTTACATACCAGCTGCCCCTCTTGTTAGATTGCCCAATACCACACACTATATTTGGGTGGATCAGAATTGCAGATTTCTTTGGCTCGATGACAGCAGTAAGCTTTATAGCTGCCAGAACCAAACTATAGACCTCCTACATCACTATTTCACAACCTGTTCTGCTCTCATAGACTGACAGGAAAAATAGAGATGTATGGATATTAACATTATCAATGGCAAAGGTCATGGAATACTCCAGACTTTAAAAATTACAGGTTTCAGGGTGCCTGGGTGGCTCAGTGGGTTGAGCATCCGACTTCAGCTCAGGTCATGATCTCATGGTTCATGGGTTCAAGCCTCGCATCGGGCTCTGCTCTGACAGCTTAGAACCTGGAGCCTGCTTCAGATTCTGTGTCTCCCTCTCTCTCTGCCCCTCCCCCTCTCAAAAATAAATAAACATTAAAAAAAGAAACTACAGGTTTCAAGGGTGCCTGGGTGGGTTGAGTGTCCCACTCTTGATTTGGGCTTAGGTCATGATCCCAGGGTCATGGGATCAAGTTCCGGGTCAGGCTCTGCATTGAGTGTGGAGCCTGCTTAAAATTCTCTCTTCTTCTCCTCCGGCCCCTCTCCCCTTCTTGCACTTGTTAGCTTTCTATTTCTTAAAAAAAAAAAAAAAAAAAAAAAAAAAAAAAAAAAAAAAATTACAGGTTTCAACCTAACCTTGTCTGTAAATCATACCCCTCTTTTTTATTTTTAAGTTTATTTATTTATTTTGAGAGCGAGAAAGAACACAAGCAGGGAAGGGGCAGAGAGAGAGGGAGAGAGAGATTCCCAAGCAGGCCCCACCCAAACTGTCACTATGGAGCCAGAAGCGGGGCTTAATCCTATAAACCCTGAGTGTTGACCTGAGCGGAAATCAAGAGTCTGATGCTGAACTGACTGAGCCATCCAGGTGCCCCAATCATAACCCCTTTTTATCTTATGTAGCAACAAAGTACATAAAGGGTTCCCACCTAAGTTTTCAGGACAATGTGGGTTCAGACCTGCCTCCTCCTGTCACTAAATACTCCACCTTACATGCCAAATTATAAACTTGGGTTCCTTTGTTCATAAAATTATGTCACACAAACACGCCTCTCAAAAAAATCATAGAAATTCTGCTTGCATATCTCAAGTCCACCTTCTTTTCAGCTTTAAGGGTTTTTATTCCCAAATCTTGGAGATTATGAATTAATTAGAAAAGGCAATCCTAAATCTCTCTGTAGTGGAATAGTTCAATACCACTATGCAAACTTTGAAAACACTCCCGTCAGAAGTTAACAGCTTAGCCTCTTTGGTACTGCAAAATCGTCATGCCCTACATACACTGGCAGCTCAGCAAGGAGGAACTCCCTGGTGAAAAATGTTGCATCTGTGTAAACCAAAGGGGACAAATAATACCTAACTTAAATCTGTCATAATAAAGGATTAATATTTGTCATCAGATAAATGAAACAGTAATATTTACTGGACGGATCTATTTCTGGGGTTGGGAGGCTGGCTTAATGGGGTGTGGGGAAATGCGCTCTGATTTGTTCTTCTGTTTGCTTCCTCATTCTAATCTACGTGCTTTTTTCTCTTTGCAGATCTCCTACCGCTCACTAGCTCAGTTTCTCTCTCCACAGTCACCAGCTCAGCTTTTCATATTGAAACTCCCAGGGAAGTTTCAGAGGGAACTGGAGAGGCCCAGGGCAGGCTGCCCCCAAAATGTGCCACATGGCATATTGGTTATTTTGAATTGAAGCTACTTGGAAAAAGCACAAACACATGGAGGCTAAACAACATGTTACTAAGCACAACATGTTACTAAGTAACCAATGGTTACATGAGGCTACTTGGGAAATAGCCAGTGTAAGGACACAGACCTTCCTCTGTCCCCCACCCCCACCACCCCCTAGGCAGGAAATAAACCTTCCTTATGAAAGTTACCTTCCCTGTACTAAGAAGTAAAAAGACAACCTTATCACCAGAGATAGAGATTTTAAAGCTGAGAAAGTTGTAGAAACAAACCTTGTCACTTTTATTTTAAGTTTATTTAGACAGGGTGGAGGGGCAGATAGAGAGGGAGAGAGAAAATCCCAAGCAGGTTCCCCACTGCCAGGGCAGAGCCTAATGTGGGGCTCAAACCCACGAACTGTGAAATTATGACCTGAGCCAATATCAAGAATCAGAAGTTTAACCAACTGAGCCACCCAGGCAAACCTTGTTACTTTTTACTAATCTACAACCTCAGCCCAAATTCTTAGAATTCCTAATTAAAACTCTCAAACATTTATTTTCTTTATCCTGTTAATTCCTCACAAATTTATTGTCTTTTTGTCTAAAATGTATAAAAACTGCGAGTCTTGGTCATTTCTTTGGATCTTGATTTCATTATTGGGTCTCCATATGCGCCTAATGAATTGGGTTTTTCTCCTGTTAATCTGTCTCATGTCATTTAATTCCTAAACCAGCTGGAAAAACCTGGCAGGGAAGGACATTTTTTTCCTTCCCTAAAACTGCTTCCCCTAAGATATTTTTACCAATCGTCGGGTTAATAGATCCCTGAAAAACTCTAATGTTCTCTCCAGCTTCTGGACAGTAAGCCTTTGACCAAAAAGTAAAATGTTGATACCATTTTTAATGTGTTTTCATAGAATCACTCTCTGGATATTGAGTGGAAGTTTGGTGGTGAAGATACTTTGCAGAAAAAAAAATATTTTAATAAACAGCTGAGTTAGTTTCTGGGAGAACAAAGTTGCTAAAATAAATCTCAAGATTCTTGCTGGGCCTTTGTACTTCCACACAAGTCAATGTTCAGCTGAATCCCTCCACGTGCTCAGGTGGAAAGCAGCAGAGTTGCCAACAGTGGTTGAAGGAGCTGAATAATACTATGCATAACCTTTAAGATTTTGGAGTTTCTATCCCAGTGACTGCTGGAGCTATACATGCATACATATTTTATTGATAAACTACCCAGGAAAAAGTAATTTTGTTTCATCTAAGACATACCAAAGTACTGGGGATGGATATAGGGGGAAGTAGCAGTGGAGAGGAGGGACAGCAGTGGTGATTTTCAGCACAGATTGCAACTTTTGTAGCTCTACGGCATTAACCAATATAAGAAATTGTCTAGTCTTATATTCACTATAGGCAGTTCCTGACTTTCAACAGTTCAACTTATGATTTTTCTACTTTACAATGCAGCAAAAGCGATATCCATTCAGTGGAAATTATACCTTGCATGTTGATGTTTCCCCAAGCAAGATGCAACGTGGTACAACATTCTTTCGTGATGCTGTGTATCAGCAGCTCCAACTCCAAGTCTGCCACATAATCACCAGGGTAAACAACCGATGTACTTACAACCATCCTGTTTTTCACTTTCAGTACAGTATTCAATAAAGTGCACGTTCTTATAGAATTGGCTTTGTGTTAGAGGATTTTGCCCAACTGTAGACTAATGGAAGTGTTCTGAGCACATTCAAGGTCCACTAGGCTAGGTTACGACGCTGAATAAGTTAACCGTATTAAATGCGTTTTCAACTTACCATATCCAGAGGTGCCCCATCGTCTAAGTCGAGGAAGACGGAGCAGAAGAGGAAAGGATGGAGCAGCCAAACTGTGAGGCTGAGAAGACAGTTAAAGTCAGTCAGTCAAGGAGAGGGACCCTTTGAGTACTTTGCTGACCATGCCCGAAGACTTGTCACCTAAGACTGGAAGTTGGGTTGCCAATCATCTTCTGGGTCTGCAGTCGCTGACAACATTTAGGGCCACATTCCCCCTTGTTCATTGGTATTTTTGTACCACTGCTTGGCAAGGGTCAGATCCTGAAGCTCTCTGGGTCTTGGCTCCTTCACCTGTAAAATGTGGGGTTTGCATCACAGAGGAGAGTTTCTGGAAAGCGCTCGGACAGCCAGCACACAGGTGTGGGAAGCGAAGCGCGGCCCAGTCCTTCAGCCTTTTGGCTGAGGCTGGGGAGGCACAGATAGCAGGAAGGTGGGGTGTGCTCCGAGAGAGCGTGGGAAGGGGGCGCACCAGTAAGCGAGGGCGCCTTAGGGGCCCGGGCGCCACGGCCACCTACGGGCTTCCTCGCTGCAGGGCGGGCCGGGGACTGAAGAAGCCTAGGCTCCTCCCGCACCCACGGCTTCCCGCCGGCAGACCTGCGCACGCCCTCCCCACCCCACCGCTCGCCGGCACCGCCCCGGCGCACGGAGGCTGGACTTTAGCACGGGGGCGGACCCCACTCCCGCTCCCGCCTCTCTCCCCGCCTCCCTCTCTGGGTCCCGCCCCGCGGCGCAGGGGGCCGGGCTCCGGCGAGGGGGGCGGTGGCCGCGGCGGTGACAGCCGCTCCCCGCCCCCGAGGGTCGCCACGTCCCTCACGTACCGCCCGGCCGAGGCGCTGAGCGGCGACCTGGCTACCCCAGCTCCTGCTCCTCCGGCGGGGCTCGGCATGAGGCTAGCGCGGCTGCTTTGCGGAGCCGCCTCGGCCGGCCCGGGCTCCGGGCTGCGCGCGGCCAGCCCCGGCGCCAGCCGCAGCTTCACCTCGGACTCGGCCTCCGGGCCGGCGCCTGAAAGCGGCGTTCCGGGCCAGGTGGACTTCTACGCGCGCTTCTCGCCGTCCCCGCTCTCTATGAAGCAGTTCCTGGACTTCGGTGAGTGCGGCCCGGGCCTAGGGCCTTTGTGCGCGGCCCTGCTCGGGGAAATGCGGCCCCTGACCCGGGACGGGCCCGGCCCTCGCTGGCCCCCTCTCACCTCTGGCGCACCCCTCCTTCTTAACGTCTCCTCCCCCAACGCTGTAGGTGTTTCCTTCCTCCCTTGCGGACAGATCCCCAAGCTCAGGTGCACGCGCTGGCGGGCGGGATAAATAACCGGGGGCGTGTGCCTTTTTATTGTGTATTGTTGAAAAACAAACCTGGAGGGCCGCGGGCGGAATGACCTCCCGCCTTTCAGCGCACGTGCAGAGCCGCGCTCTCTGCCAGGCGCCTTCCGAAGAGTAGAGCTCCGGCTGGAGGCAAGTGTGCTGCACACTCCCGGGAGTCGTGTTCGGATTCTGCACAGTGATGATAAATGCTCAGTTTTGTAGACGATGATTCCATAAAATTGGCGCGATGATAGGGGAAGCAGGTTATAACTGGCCCAATTGTTTCATAGAATGTTTTCCTTGCCACTTGCTTAATAGTGTTTCCACCAACAGCACATTCATTTCATCATCAGCAAGTAAGTGTTGAGCACACGTAAAGTGCGTGAGCACTAGACTAGACGTGGGGATTGCCACATTTCACCCTGTAGAGGCGACTGTCCACTTTCCTCGTCTTCCGGTGGGTCCTTCCTGGTTTTCTCTAGAAAGGATGCAACAGATTGCAGAGAAATTGCAAAGTTAGACTTATAACTTTGACTTCTCATACGGAGGCGTGGAGGGGAAAGGGAAAACTAATAAACTCGAATAAAGTCATAACATGTCAGTAGAAAAAGTTATCTTCTGCATGGTGAGTACTGTTAAGTCAGTAATGGATCTCTGGTGGGCTCAAAAGATATCAGCTTAGCTGACAGCTTTATCTTAAAATTGTGGTGTACAGAGGCGAACTCTTTTTGGCGCAAAGCCCTCGGTTTTCTTTGTTGTTACTTTAAAATGACTGTAGTGTGATTAAGGGGTGAATTTGGCCTTGTTCACAGTATGCCATTAAACTTTCACAAGAAAGTGTTTTCCTTTAATTCGGTAATTACTGCTAGGAACAATCTAGTTTTGGCTAAGGCTGCCTTTCTAAAACAGCAAGATGACATTCGTGAGTTCAGAATGCATTGCTGAAATAACATGATTTTTTAGTTTAACTTTCAATAGAACTGCTTGTCAAAGGACATTCTACAACTGTTCTGCTTAGTAGCTTGGTATAGGAGTGGAGGAAGAGTAGGATGCTTACCAGGAATCAGACTATTGAATAAGACCTGGGGGTGGGGGTGAGGGGAGGGGGAGCTTGAAGATGGCTGCTGAACAGGTATTGGTATTTTTTGCTTTCTGTTGCCTGAAATCCCTCCTGTACATCAGCTCTTTGCTTATCGAGGTTCCCACGCACATGACCAAATTTCTCTGTTTATATTGGACAGGTATTCATTTCTTACAAACCTGGAGTTAGGAAACAGATTTTCTAAATAATAGCATCCAGTTAATAGGCTTTGGCAGGTCCTGCTGTTAATTAGACTCTGCACTTTGTTCAGACTTGCTCAGGTTACCTTGGTGCTAAGAAAATCACAGGAAGGATGCAAGTGATGGAGAGGGGAGAGTATCTTCACTGCTCTACAAAGCGATTGGAATGTCACGACTTAGGTCATTTAGGATGCCTCACAACCCTGCTGACTGGGTTATCTCATCCCTTTCGTCCTCATTCCCTGTCATGAAGGTGATGCTACTACCACTCTGACGTTGCCAAGTAACTCCCTCTGCGTTTCTCCCTGCCTCTTGGCTTCTACTGCCTTATGGGCTCTACTTACTGCTGTTCCCACCTTGTTTCATTTTAGGATCTATGAATGCTTGTGAAAAGACCTCATTTATGTTTCTGCGGCAAGAGCTGCCTGTTAGATTGGCAAATATAATGAAGGAAATAAGTCTACTTCCAGATAATCTTCTCAGGACTCCATCAGTTCAGTTAGTACAAAGCTGGTAAGATTCCCATCTTGTGTTTGCAATTTCAATGGACTTACGGACTTTACTCAAGGTGAAAGCAAATACTCTTTTACTCTTCAGTGGATTCTTACGGTAGTAAGAGCATTCCTCCACCTCTTTTTGGGTGTGTCTGGGCTTGTCCCCTGAATCCTGGACTCTACCACTCCTTGACTTTGAGAAAACAAACAAACAGCCAATCAGAACTGCACAGAAATACACACACTAAATTTAAGATTTCTGATATTAAATCTGTAGGGATGTTATGTTATAATAAAAAATATCTACAAAAAATATATGTCTACCATTTGTTGATGGCTAGGGATTTATAGGCATTACCTTTAATCCCTTTGACAACTCTGCCCATTAGGCATTATTATCATCATTTACAGATGAGGAAATTGAAGCACCTACTGGCCTTTTGCCAAAGGTGGTACCATTCATAGTGGAGGTAGGATTCAAGCCCAGATTTGTTTCTTTCTACTATACCATGCTCTAGTCAGAATGATAAAATGTATTAAAGTGTGTATATATTTTTGAATAAACTGAATTTATTTTACTGTAGTATATCTTTGTCAAACACAAAAGTTAAAATCTTTATTCTCCCATTTTAAAGTAATTACAAAGTAGTGGAATCATATAAGAAACTCTGCTGTCTTCCAAAATATGACAGTAGAGGTATTAAGGGTATGAACATATACGTGGCCATTTAAATACAGCCTTTCTTGAAAAATAAGATAAAAACAGAGAGGGAGGCAAACCATAAGAGAGTCTTAAATATGGGGAACAAACTGGGGGTTGCTGCTGGGTGGGGGGGGGAATGGGCTAAATGGATGAGGGACATTAAGGAGGGCACTTGTTGGGATGAGCACTGGGTGTTATATGTAAGTGATGAATCACTGAATTCTACTCCTGACACCATTATTACACTGTATGTTAACTAACTTGGATTTAAATTAAAAAATAAATAAATACGGCCTTTCTTGTTAATGTTATTAATTTAAAAGTGTAATTCTTTTAAGCACTATACATTTCAAACAAAAGAATTTGCCAGAGTTCAGTCTTAAATGGAAAATAAAAATTAGCTGCAAGATTTTTCCCAGTTCTGATTCATGGAGATCTTAGCACTTTTTTGTAGCCATTATAGTTTGTAGGAGAAGCTGATCTAACTTCAACTTTAAAAAACAAGCAAAAGAAGTATGACTGCTATAATATGTGATAATGAGATGCTATCTGGTTCAAGTATGGAACAATTATGAGTGTGGTTTAAAGAAGAGGCATTTGTTTAGGAACTCTGATGGAATCTAAAGGAGAACATATAATTTTCTACGGAAGCTTATTTCTGTTTTTTAAAATTCTTCACTGAAAATAGAATATGCTGCATCTTGAAATCTGTTCTGTGCCTAACATGTTGTCAGTGCTCAACCGTCTCTTGAATTAAGAGCGTAGTTTTTCTTGCCAGGGAAGAGAAAAGTAAGGGGTAAAGCAAACGTCAGAATCACTTGACTTTGGAATGCTTTGGACTGAAGAGAGGCACACACTGCTTGTCAAGAACAGCTTTCCAAATCAACATATGGATTTACAGATTTTTCAAACACTTTCATTGCCCCTGGATGCCTACTAAAGACAGTTGTAGATAACAGTGCCCACAGACCAGCCAAAGCAGAGCCTATATAATTGAAAGTCATTGAATAGCAGTGAGGTGTTTTCAGCTCCGGCCCTGTACTGCCATTACGCTTGGCCGCATGACCTTGACAAAGTCATTTGGCTTTTCCTCATTTTGTTCCTTCCTTAACGGGTGATTTGCTACCTTGAATTGTTAGATAAATTAAAAACCTACATTTGTATGACTTTTGTTTTTGTTCAGCTCTGTTTAAAAGAACTATGTGGTAAGTTATAGGCTTTTAACAAATACTTGTTGATGGTACACAAACTATTAACCTGGAGAGTGCATGCTTCTGAAGGACAGACAGCCACCTTCAGCTCCAGCTGGTCATTGCCACTGCGGAAGTACCATCCACATCATCTGGCTTTTGTTTGTTTAAAGAAAAGCCACAAGTCTAGATTTTTAATGTAGAATCTCCCAATTTTGAAAGATTGCAACTAATTAAAAATTTTGTAAAGCACCAAAGCCCTAAGAAGGTCTGTAGGGTTTTAAAACACAGGTTTTAAGCTAGACTCATAGACTGAGGTAGGTGTTCCTCCACATTTCGTTGAGACTAAGACAAATTAAGTCATTTCCCTCAGATCACATAGTCACTGGTAACAGATGCGATTCTCATGACAATCAGCATTTCTACTGTATAGTGGTAAATTTAAGAAATTGAAAAGCTATTTTAGAGTATAGAACTTAAGAATAAAAGAAGTAGGAAATCTTAAAACTCTAAAATGTAACCTATGTTCTTAGGAGAAAATGTGCACCTTCTATTACTTTATGCCAGGCACTTTGCTCAAAGGTGGATGGGTATAAAAATCCTACTTCAACCATAATTCATAGCACTATTCTAAATTAAAAATTAAGAGATGGGTAAAAATACCTTTTGAGTATTTTCATAATATTGAAATTTCAAATTGTGAAAAAACAAATTTACCCTACTGGTTTGCATTTTAGGTATATTCAGAGTCTTCAGGAGCTTCTTGAATTTAAAGACAAAAGTGCTGAAGATGCTAAAACTATTTATGAGTAAGTACATGATTTTGACCCTATTCGGAACACAATTTAAAAAAAATTTTTTTTTTAACATTTATTCATTTTTGAGAGTGAGAGAGAACATGAGCTGGGGAGGGGCAGAGAGAGAGAGAGGGAGACACAGAATCCAAAGCAGGCTCCCGGCTCTGAGCTGTCAGCACAGAGCCCAACCCGGGGCTCAAACTCACGGACAGTGAGATCATGACCTGAGCTGAAGTCAGACGCTCTTAAACATCATGTAAAAAATATAAATGTATTGAACTTAAACTTGCTATTGGGTCATTTTAGGGAAATTAACTTTTAGTTTCTCACCACTCGAGAACATACAGTAGTACATGTGTCTATAGCAGCTCATACAAGTAAGACAAATATTGTAAAACAGTGAATATAAGAAAAGACAGTTCAAGTCTGATGATTAGGGAAAATCCAGAAATGGCCTTGGTGCCATTTGGATGATAGGGGACTGGTGAGAGGACTCTTTATCTGGAGAGCTCAGGTGAACATTCAGCTCCAGCCAGTCATTACCAATGCAGAGACATTATTCAGATTGTCTGATTTTTTTGTGTGTTAAAAGCAGTAACTTTAGATTTTTAGTGTAAAATCTCCCCCAATTTTGAAGATTGCAACTAATTTTAAAAAGTTGTTTTAACACCGAAGGCCTACAAACACACCTCTGTGGTCTCACTTTCTGACCTCTGTAAGATGATGAAAGTAATGACAAATGTAATAACCAGTGTACCAGAATTGATAAACCCAGGTAGTCCCCTCAGGCAGTTATCTGCTTATTCCGATGAATGTTGCTCAGAACTTAAAGCCCACCTCTTTTGTTGTCCCCAGAGTCTATTGCACATTTTTTTTTTAACTGTCTTTAAACATGATGGCAACATTTCACCTTTTAAACATAATTGGGTCTGAAAATAACATCAAGGATTTACTCTCTACCTAGGTATGAAGCACACTGTATATTTAATCTTTAAAACAGTGCTCTTGAGTTAATGCTATCTGTGCACAAAGAGGTTAAGTAACTTAAGGTAGCATTAAAATTACATAGCCAAGGGGCGCCTGGGTGGCGCAGTCGGTTAAGCGTCCGACTTCAGCCAGGTCACGATCTCGCGGTCCGTGAGTTCGAGCCCCGCGTCGGGCTCTGGGCTGATGGCTCAGAGCCTGGAGCCTGTTTCCGATTCTGTGTCTCCCTCTCTCTCTGCCCCTCCCCCGTTCATGCTCTGTCTCTCTCTGTCCCAAAAATAAATAAACGTTGAAAAAAAAAAAAAAATTACATAGCCAACTAGTGTGATGGGATCAGGATTTGAACCTAAGCACTTGCACTTAAAAATAAATGTACGCTATAGAACCTTCTGAAAATAGCTAGTCAGAGCTGAATCTAAAAAATAAGGTGAGCAATCAAGCAGAATAATCCTGTCTTGGGTTTTAAAAGAGAGAGAGGTGAAATAAAGGGGTGATGAGGAATGATGAGTGTTTGTTGTTTTTGAGGAGTTTTGTTGTTTGTATTTTGGATTAACAGTTTGGTTTTGAAGCAGATTACAAACTAGGAATTCCAAAAATATTTTGAACGATGAGAGCATCACTGGAATAAGTTGATAGTACTCAAGATGATGACTGTGAATGGGAAAGCACTCATTCAGAAGTGTAAATTCTGATGGGTATGTTACAAGATGGATTTTATTTCATAATTAAGACTTCTTTGCTCTTTTATCTAGATCTTTAAATTAACCATGCAATAAATGCCTTCTAAATGACAGAAGTGGGAAGGCTGGATGACTTGAAAATTTTTCTTTTAACACAACAGTTGACTCTTTCTCTCCCATTTTTAAACTTCTAGGATCAGCGACATTAAAATTCCTTTTACTTCTCTGTTCTCAGTAGTTCTTTCTCTCTTGGAACCATAGGGAATAGTTCCAAAACAGACAGGCTTTATTGGCTTATTCATCTTCATTCCTCACAGAGCTGTGTTCACTAGAAGCAAGCACTCTCTGTCTTCTCTTATGCTGAACGTCCGTGGAATACTGTCCTCGTAGGGAATGCTCAAACGATCTTAGTTGATGATGGTTAAAGCAGACCCTTAACATTTTTAGGATTGTGTTTTGTGGCAGCCTTACTTTTAGGAGTTCCAAGAAAATAATTAAGCTTCAAAAGTTTTATTTTGGAGGTCTTTATATTCTATATTCTATATATCGATGATCTGAAATACAGTTAAATAAGCAGAAGAAAACATGCACTGATGCTTTTTTACTCAAGTAGGGATTTCTTGCCTAGAAAAGGTTGGTTAAACGTAGATTTTAGTATTAAATTCACTTGTCAAAATATTTGGCTGTTTTGACGGACAGGTTTGTTTAGCTTTACAGATACTGTGATTCGGATCAGGAACCGACACAATGATGTTATTCCTACGATGGCCCAGGGAGTGATTGAATACAAGGAGAGCTTCGGGGTGGATCCCGTCACCAGCCAGAATGTTCAGTACTTTTTGGATCGCTTCTACATGAGTCGCATTTCAATTAGAATGCTACTCAATCAGCACTGTAAGTATCTAGAAGTCAGGAGAAGAAGCAAAATGAAATGAATGTGTTGGTATATTTTAAGTTTATTTAGAAAACTTCCCTTTAATAAGCATTTAATTTTGCTTTTTTGTGTGTATTAAGTAAATAGACTGTCATGCAAAGGAGGTATTCTCATTGAATGTAAAATACTACGTTTAAAAAAAGTGTCTGTTCTACTGTTTGGCACCATTCAGAGACACAGTATTCAAATCAGGAAAAGGGCATTAGAGGGTTTAGCTTATTTTGTTTGTTTGTTTGATAGCTTTATTGTTTGGTGGAAAAGGCAAAGGAAGCCCGTCTCATCGAAAACACATTGGAAGCATAAATCCAAACTGCAATGTAGTTGAAGTTATTAAAGGTAAATGCTTACATTTCTCCTTTCATGAAGGATGCAAAAATCAAAATTATTGAGTGTTAATTCATGCCAATAAAACAATTACTTATATCTTGAGATAAAACATTAGGAACAAATGCAAGGATTTGAGAATAATTTTATGATGTTAATTGTACATTATGTATAGGATGAATATTTTGTTGATCCAATTCTTTGTTAGGCAAAGTATGGTGATACTGTGAGGGCACCTGTTTCACTTCAAAAAGATTCAAGCTCCACCTCCCCCTGCTTTCTAATTCCCTGTACTAGGAGCCATAGTCTGTGATAGTTTGGTTTGCATTTTTCCACACTTTTTTCTGTTTATACCACATATACTCATATATGTATATATGTCATTGTTGTTCTTACATTGTTTGCTTTGGGAAAACGGATGCTGTATGTATATTTTTCTATAAGCTTAGAGCCATCACACCACATTCAGTACATATGGAAATACCTTAGGTTTTTGAGTGGCTTAATGGGTATTTCAGAATGTATTAATCCATCCTTCTATTGATGCATATTTAGGTTTTAATTTTTTTTTAACCAGTAATACTGAAGTGAACATCTTTAGACATGTGCTGACTTTACTAGTACTTTAGAAGGCAAGATTCTTAGAATTTAAGACATTTAAAATGCATTTAGGGGCACCTGGGTGGCTCAGTCAGTTAAACGTCTGGCTCTTGATTTTGGCTCAGGTCGTGATCTCACGGTTCATGAGATTGAGCCCCATTTTGGGCTTTGCACTAATGGTGCAGAACCTGCTTGGGATTCTCTCTCCCTCTCTCTCCTCCCTCAAAATAAATAAACTTAAAAAAAATTTTTTTAAAGCTAAAATGCATATAAAATTTTGATACCTCCTAAAAGGTATCAAACAATGAATTCCTAAACTTTTACCAACTCTATATGTTATGTGTATTGTAAATATTTTCTTCACCCTGCTGTTTTTACTTTGTTCACAGTGTCTTTTTCTTTATGAATGTTTTTATTTTCTTATAATCATATCTGTCATTTTTCCTTTATGGCTGTTAGGTTTTATCATGTCATACCTTCTCCAAACTAAGACTGTTAAATTATATTTTCTTCCATAAATGGTTTTAAAATTTCGTTTATCAATAGTATTGCCATCTTAATGCATGATATAGAAATACATTTATTTAATGCTTTTTTTTTGTTTTGATTTACACTAGATGGCTATGAAAATGCTAGGCGTCTATGTGATTTGTATTATATTAATTCTCCTGAACTAGAACTTGAAGAACTAAATGGTAAGCCTGATGATATCTTTTTCTGAATGATTAGTGTTGTGATTTTCTGCGAAGGGATGATAAGAAGAATTTAGATTTGTTTTAATATAAAAGGACTTTTCATAAACTCTTTCATTGAATATGAAAGCCGAGGGAGAACAATCATGTTAAAAATATGTGTGTGTGTGTGCGCGCGTGCGTGTGCTCATGTGCATGTATGCGTGTATGTCTGTAATTAGTTGGATTCTGTCTGAAAAGCATTTTGGCTTCTTCCTCGTTTTGTTTATGTTCAATTGATAATGTTGATTCTTTCCTTATTTTTGTGGGTTTTCTTTTTGGTTAGTTTGGTTAGAAAAAAATGATGCCAAGAAAATTATATTTGACTTTTATATGCATTTCAATACTGTAGAATTGAAGAATTTAAGAATTCCACTTACTGAGTGGTAAATCATTTTTATTATTGAGGAAGTAAAAAGACTGGGGGTGTAAAGAGGAAAGAAAGATGCTGATCTGTTTGAGAATCTGTTAATCTCTGATGGTCTTTTCACCCTGACTAGTAGTGTGCCTTTTGGACAAAACAATTTCAGATATCTTGGAAGGAGATTGATAAGTTTCTCTGTGTTTCTGAGGGGTAGTGTAGTTTTGTAGAGGGAAAAACAGTTACTAAGTGAAGATGACCCTTTAAGAAGAATAAAATTAAGTAGGGTTTTTCTAAACTGTATTCTGGAACTTCTAGTGGGAGAGAAATAAAGAAGTTACTCAATTGAAAATAGAACTGCTTGGTGTTTTTCTAAAGCCATATTAACTTTTGTTTCATAACAATACCATTCAGTAAATGAGAATCACAATGCAGAGATGATATTTACACCTGAACTGCTGTGAGCATGTTCTAGGTGTCCCATCCATGTTTCCGTGGGGTGGTTTATTCAGAGGAGAGTCCAATTTATTGGGTCAGTTGGAATTCTAAGGTAGGGTGAGGCTTATTGCTTTGCTCTACTTTAAGTTCTGTTTTACATACAGCCTGCCCCCCTCACCACATCCCCAACTGGCCTTCTAAATTTAATAAAATGTTTGAATGTAGAATTCGTATCCCTTGATAAATTGATGCTAGCTTAATTTTTTTTTTAATTCAAATCTATATACATAGAAATGCCTGAAATAAAACAGAAAACATTCCACATGGGAGAAACATTCAAAAAATGACTTTTTAAAAAAAAGTATTTTTTTTTATATTTATGTGAGTTGGACCATGGAACTTACAGACTTTAATACTTGTTTTGGTACTCTGTATTTAAGAGTCTCTTATAGTTTGCCTTCCAATGGGGGGTGGGGGAGAAGGGAAAATGGGTGATGTGAATTGAGGAGGGCACTTGTTAGGATGAGCACTGGGTGTTGTATGTAAGTGATGAACCCCGGGAATCTATCCCCAAAACCAAGAGCACACCTTACACACTGTATGTTAGCCAATTTGACAATAAATTACATTGAAAAAATTCTTGCTTTGGAAAGTAAAATTCTGGCCTAAAGGCTGAGTGTCCTTTAAAAAGACTCACCATCATAGAGGAAATAGGAAGCTGGGTTGGCTAGATTGTCATTCAGGGTCGCAAGAATGACTGCAAACTCATGTTGTCACTGTCATATGTGAATGTGGGGTCAAACACTAATATACTGAAGAACTGGGGTGACAGTTCTCTCCCAAATAATAGTGTCCTCCATAGTAAATGTTTTCTTTTCATCACTACACAATATATACTTTAAAATGCTTTAAGCACATCTCTCTGTACTTTTATATTTTTCTCTTCTGCTCTGTAGCAAAATCACCAGGACAGCCAATACAAGTGGTTTATGTACCATCCCATCTCTATCACATGGTGTTTGAACTTTTCAAGGTTTGTAAAATAGTATTACATAACCTTTATCAGTCCTTTTCTGAGGTTAGGGATCTGCTCTGAAAATTAAGTACTCTACCAGGTTTTCCTCAGTTTCATTAAAAGATGTCATTTCATGCTCAGTGTCACGTCACGTTGCTGGAGATCAGCCTTTTGTCAACACTGATGGACATCTCAGTGTAGCAGTCAGCTCATACTGGGAAGTCAGAAAGACCTGGGCTTGAATTCCAGTTCTTGATACATATGTGACCATGGGAAAATCCGTCAACCTTTTTGAGCCTTAGTTTCCTCTTCTGTAAAATGAGGATAATACTACCCAGGTTATGATGATTGGGAATAGCATACTAAACGTCCAGTACAATGACAACTCATTATAGGTGCTCAATAAGCTATATTAATATTTTTTAAAAATGGAATATTTAGAAGAGTAATTTTCAATTTTCCACCCTTAAAAAACCAGAGTCCCACTATTATATGTTTTTTTTTTCTTTGAAAAAGTCATTTATATTGACTTACAGGGCTCCTGCTATCATATTTGCTCCTTACAACAAATTTCAAAAGCTAAATAAAATGAGTCTAGTAATGTTGAGAGTACTCTTTTCCCAAATAACGCACCAATGGCAACTTGCTAATGGATAGAAAAGTGAGTGAGGAGAAGTGGTACAGGTCCCTGTGGCTAAAAATGACTGCCCTAAATCAAGCTGACAGTCTCTCTGACTTTAGTTAACATGTCTTCAGCCAGCAGCAAACTGCTAGAAGAGGTGGCTTTCAGCCTGACCATGAAAAAGAAAAATACACTGAAACACAGAAAATCTAACAATATCATAGAACAGCAGGAGTTCAAGAATGCTCTTTTGTTCTAGGACATCAAGAACATATCTAATACCTTACAAAAATCTCAAAGTGGGAAAATAAATAAGCAATTGGCACTTCAAGGATTAAGATTAATTTTTTTCCTTAAGATTTCAGTTACATAAAGGTCTTATTCCCCATGATGCTTAATAAAATAAATTACCATATTATAAAACAGATTTTATATAATGTCAATAATAATGTCAATAATCTTAAGTAGCCTTTGGTAGAGATTATAGCATCCCCAGGGATACTCAATCCTGATGTGTATGTCAGGGCCACACACTCTGAATTTTTAGGAGTGTTTTTAAAAAATTTAGCTTAAAAATTTTTTAAATTCAGTCCCATCTTTTGCCTTTTTAACTGTATCTAGTTTTACCAATTTCTCCTCCATTGCTACATGTCATGTTATCTTTTAGCGCTCATAATATATTGGCATTGTGTACTGTGTATCCTTTAGGAACTGATCAAAACTAGAGATATTTACAATGTAAATCAAACTAGTGATGAATTGGATTAGTTTCTACATCATAAAACCATTGCTGTGAATACTATATGAAAAAATTTTTTCCTTAATTTATGGCAATTAAAATGATTCCTAAAAATAGAGACAAAACTCTTTTCAAAAAATAAGTTATTATCTACTAAACTATAAAAATATTTGGATAGAATTTTCAGCTTTAATGTAAACTATTTAAGTGTTGAGATGCCTGGTTTTGGAAAATATGCAACCTGGATTTGGTTGAAATCTTTAAGTCAAAGTATCTCACCAGTCGTCCAAAATGGACAATAATTTTTTGAAGTAATTCTTTAAATATAATTATAAGAATTATACTTTGGCATATTTCCAGCAAATTAAAAATTTTTTAATTTCAAATGGTGCCTATGTGTTTGAAAATCAGAATTAGTTTCTTCTTTTTTAAAGTTGTGTTTTGAACGGAACCCTAATGTATTTCAGAACGCGATGCGAGCGACTATGGAGCACCATGCTGACAAAGGTGTTTACCCTCCTGTTCAAGTCCACGTCACACTGGGTAACGAGGATTTGACTGTGAAGGTAAATGCTCCCTGGCATTGTTTTGTTTGTTTCGTTGATGTACAGGCATGCACATAATTTCTTGAAGACGTAATTTATTCTTAGAAAGAGATCTTATCTCTAATAGCTAATAAGCACGTTGCTTCATTTATCTGGCAGATTATGGAATTATCCCTTGAGTCTCTTTCTATTCTGGTCTGTAATCCAGATGATGCAAGTAAAAATAAATCCTGAAAACACAGTTTAGCAGTCATCATGAATATCTACTTTGATAAAGTATATATTTTTTTCTTTTAGAATTTAACATTTATTTATTTTTAAGACAGAGAGAGAGAGAGAGAGAGAGAGCATGAACAGGGGAGGGTCAGAGAAAGAGGGAGACACAGAATCTGAAACAGGCTCCAGGCTCTGAGCTGTCAGCACAGAGCCCGATGCGGGGCTCGAACCCACACACCACGAGATCATGACCTGAACTGAAGTCGGACGCTTAACCGACTGAGCCACCCAGGCGCCCCTACTTTGATAAAATATTTGAGTGTTCGCAGTGTTACATAGATAGCATATAACTTTTCATTTTTAAGTAACATTTTTCAATCTACTTTTATATCATTTCATTTGATTCTCGTAACGGCTCTTTAACATAGGAGCACAGGTAATTTTATTGTCAATTTTACAGGTGAGGAAACTAAGACAGTGATTAGCTCATAATTAATTACCCAACTAATAAATGTAACAGGACATGAAGTCAGGCTCTCTGACCCCAGAGAGCCTTCTTTAGATAGTTTAGTTTCTTAGAGTATGAATATGCTCTTTTTTAAATAATCCTTTTAAATTTTGTTTTAAAGTAATAAATGCAAAGAGTATAAAAATCAAATATATTAGTTCCTGGCCATTTGTAGGCCACTACTCAGAGATAATCTTTTAGTTATTTTTTCTGGGATTTATTGATGTATTTTTAGTAGTATTCTGATATCGCTATTTCTGAAATTTAAAAATTTTCAACAGCAAATACTAGCTTTCTGTTATGATAGCTTAGGAATTAGCTCTTGTAGAGCACCTCCCCTCCCCAACACAGCCTTAGTTGCTATTTTCCCAGTTTTAAGTTCATACATGAAATTCTGGATTGAAAATAATCATCTTGAAGAATTTTGAAGGCATCTACTGTTACTTTTTTAAAAAGTGTATAATTCAGTGGTTTTTAGAATACAAAGTTGTGCTACCATACCACTAATTTCAGAACATTTTCATCACTCCCAAGAAAAACCTCAGTACCCATTAGCAATCACTCCCCAACTTCTCCTACTCCCCAGTCTTTGGCAGCCACTAGTCTACTTTCTGTAAATGGATTTCCCCATTTTGGACATTTCATAAAAATGGAATTATACAATATGTGACCTTTAGTGACTGACTTCTGCCACTTACTGTAATGTTATAGCATGTATTAGTTCTTCATTCCTTTTTGTGGTTGAATAATACTGTTATCCATTTTGTTTTATCCATTCATCAAGTTGATGGACATCTGGGTTTGTGTTGTGAGAAGACTTTGATAACTCGTTCAATCTCTTTATTTATTATCAGTCTATTCAGATTCTGTATTTCTTCCCAAGGTAGTTTCGATACTTTAGGCCTTTCTAAGAATTTGTCCATTTCACCTAGGTTGTTTAATTTGTTGGCATAGTGGGGCGCCTGGGTGGCGCAGTCGGTTAAGCGGCCGACTTCAGCTCAGGTCACGATCTCATGGTCCGTGAGTTCGAGCCCCGCGTCGGGCTCTGGGCTGATGGCTCAGGGCCTGGAGCCTGCTTCCGATTCTGTGTCTCCTTCTCTCTCTGCCCCTCCCCCCTTCATGCTCTGTCTCTCTCTGTCTCAAAAATAAATAAAAACGTTAAAAAAAATTTTTTTAATTTGTTGGCATAGAATTATTCATAGTATTTCCTCATAATCCTTTTTATTTTTGTAGGATTGGTAGTAATGTCCTCACTTTCATTCTTGACTTCATCAATTTGAGTTCTCCCTTTTTTCTTGGTCAGTCTTGCTAAAAGCTTGTCAATTTTGTTAATCTTTCCAAAAAAAACTTTTGTTGAGTTTTTGCCATTGTTTTTCTATTCTTTATTTCATTAATTTCTACTCTCATGTTTGTTATTTCTTTCTTTTCCTTGCTTTTGAGTTATTTTGCTTTTTTTTAGTTCTTTTTTGTTTTTTTTTTGTTTTGTGTTTGCTTTTTTTTAATTTCTTAAGGTGGATTTTAGGTTATTGATTTGAGACCTTTTATAGCTATACATTTTCCTCTAAGTACTGCTTTCTTTCTATCCCATAAGTTTTTTGTTTTATTTTATTTTTTTAACATTTATTCATTTTTGAAAGGCAGAGAGAGTGCGAGCACGAGGAAGGGAGGGGTGCAGAGAGAAAGGGAGACACAGGATCTGAAGCAGGCTCCAGGCTCTGAGCTGTCAGCACAGAGCCTGACATGGGGCTCAAACTCACAAACTGTGAGATTATGACCTGAGCTGAAGTCAGATGGCTTAACCAACTAGCCACCCAGGCGCCCCGTATCCCATAAGTTTTTTATGGTGTGTTTTCATTTTTATTCATCTCAAAGTATTTTCTAATTTCTCTTGTGATTTCTTCTTTGACCCATTGTTTCTTTAGGAGTATGTTGTTTAATTTATATATATTTGTTAATTCCCACATTTTGTTCTGTTATTGACATCTAATTTCATTCCATTGTGGTTAGAAATACAGTTTGTATGATTTCAGTCCTTTAACATTTATTGAGACTTGTTTTATGGCTAACATATTGTCTATCCTGGGAAGTGTTTCATGTGTACTTTTGAGAAAATGTGTATTCTGCTATTGTTGGATAGAGTGTTCTATAGATAGTTGTTAGGCCTAATTGGTTTATAGTGTTATTCAAATCTTCTATTTTCTTGTTGATCCGCTATCTAGTTGTCATATCTGTTATTGAAAGTGGGGTATTAAAGTCTCCAACTACTATGGTTGACTTGTCTCTTTCTCCTTTCAATTCTGTCAGTTTTTGCTTTATGCATTTTGGAGCTCTGAGGTTAAGTGTATATATGTTTATGATTTTATATCTTCTTGATGTATTCATCTTTTATCATTGTAAAATGTCCATCTTGGTCTCTGATAATAATTTTTGTCTTAAAGTGTATTTTTATCTGATACTAGTATAACCACTCCAGCTTTCTTTTGGTTTCTGTTTCCGTAGCATATCTTTTTCCAAGATTTTCCTTTTAGCCTATTTGTGTCTTTGAATCTAAAGTGTGTCTCTTCTAGACAACATATGGTTAGATTATGCTTTTTTTTTTAATCCAGCCAGCCAGTGTCCATCTTTTAATTGGAGTGTTCAAGTCAGTTACATTTAACATAATTATTGTTAATATAGAATTTGTGTTTGCCATTTTGTCATTTGTTTTGTATATATCTTATGTCTCTTTGATTTTTTATTTCTGTATTACTGATGCCTTTTTTTGTTCAAATGATACTTTCTGGTGTACCATTTTAATTTCCTTCTTGTTTCTTTTTATATTTCTTTGAGTTATTTTCTTGTTGTTGTCCCAGGATTACAATTAATATAGTGATTTATTTATAACAATTCAGATTCAATTCAGATTAATACCAACTTAATTTCAATAGTGTAGACATACTTTGTTCCTGTATAGGTCCATTCCTTCCCCCTCCCCATCCTCTGTACTGTTATTGTCATAAAACATACATTTTTATACATTGTGTGTTCATCTACACAGATTTATAATTATTCCTTTCTGAAATTGTCTTTTAAATAAGGTAGGAGAAAACAGTTACACACAAAAAATACACACATACTATCTTTTATATTTACCTATGTAATTCTTTTTCCTGGTGCTCTTTATTTCTTCATGTGGATTTTATTGTCTAAAGTTCTTTCATTTCAGGCTAAAGGAATCTCTTTAGTATTTCTTTATAGAGCAGGTCTACCAGTGATGAACTCTCTCAGTTTTTGCTTACTTGAGAATGTCTTAATTTCTCTTTCATTTTTGAAGAACAGTTTAGCTAAATATAGGATTTTTTGGTTAATACTTTTTTTTCAGCACTTTAAATATGTTAATCCTACTGCCTCTGGTCTCCCCAGTTTCTGATGAGAAATCAGTTGTTAATCTTTTTAGGATCGTTTGTATGTGATGAATCACTTCTCTTGCTGCTTTCAAGATTCTTCTTGGTTTTTGACAGTTTTATTATGATTTGTCCAGGTATGGACCTATTTGAGTTCATTATACTTGGCATTTGATGAACATCATCTTTTTTTTAAGTTTATTTACTTTCAGAGAGTGAGAGAGCAAAAGCGTGAGTGGGTAGGGACAGAGAGAGAAGGAGAGAGAGAATCCCAAGCAAGCTCCATGTTGACAGTGCAGAGCCTGTTGTGGGGCTCGATTCCACAAACCATGAGACCATGACCTGAGCCAAAATCAAGAGTTGGATGCTCAACCGACTGAGCCACCCATGCACCTTGATGAAAATCATCATTTTAATCAAAATTGGGAAGTATTTTGCCTTCATTTCTTAAGATGTTCTTTCTGCCCCCTCTTCCATCTCCTCTTCTGCTGGGATTTCCGGTACATCTTGGTACACTTGATAGGGTCACACAGGTCTCTGGCCTCTGACACATTTTTTTTTTTTTTCATTTTTCTTTATTTGTTTTTCTTTCTGTTTCTCAGACTGGATAATTTCAATTGAGTTATCTTCACTATCACTGATTCTTTTTTCCATATGTTCAAATCTGCTATTGAGCTCTTGTGAATTTTTCATTTCAGTTATAATATACTTCTCAACTCTTGAATTTCAGTTTGGTTCTCTTATATAATTTATATATATTTTTTATTGCTGTTCTCTATTTGGGGAGATATCATCCTCTAACTCCAGTACTTTTAAAATGGTTTCCTTTAGTTCTTTCAAAATATTTAAAATAGCTGACTTAAAGTCATTAGTTTCCTCAGATATAGTGTCTCTTGATTCCACTTTTTCCCCTG